GGAGGAAATCCACCCTAACTCGTTCTACAAAGCCAGAATCACCTTGATACCAAAGCCAGGAAAGGACATGACAAAAATAGTAAACTACAGACAAATATCCCCTATGAACACAGATGCAAAAATCCTCAACAGAATACTAGCAAATCAAATTCAACAGCACATCAAAAAGATAATTTACCATGATCAAGTGGGTCTCATCCCAGGAATGCAAGGATACATAAATCAATAAAGATGATTCGTCACATAAACAGAAGCAAAAACAAAGTCCACATGATCATCTCAATAGACACAGAAAAAGCATTTGATAAAATCCAGCACCCTTTCATGATAAAAAAAATCCTAAACAAACTAGAAATAGAAGGAGCAGCTTTATTTATGATTGCCAAAATGTGGCAGCAACCAAGACGTCCTTCGGTAGGTGAATGGATAGACTGCGGTTCATCCAGACAATGGAATATTATTCAGCACTAAAAAGAAATGAGTCAAGGCATGGTGGCTGATGCCTATAATCCCAGCACCTTGGGAGGCTGAGGCAGGAGGATCACTTGAGCTCCAGAGTTTGAGGCTCCAATGAGCTATGATTGGGCCACTACACTCCACCCTGGATGACAGAATGAGACCTGTCCCTAAATAAATAAGTAAACAAATAGGAAAAAAAAAGAGATGAGCTATCAAACCATAAAAAGACACTGAAGAACCTTAAATGCATATTGCTAAGTGAAAGGAGCCAATCTGAGAAAGCTACAAACTATAGGATTCTAATTATATGCCATTCTGGAAGAGGTAAAACTATGGAGAAAATAAAAAGATCAGTGCTTGTCAGGGGTTGGGGCAGGGAGGGATGAATAGGTCGAGCATAGAGGATTTTTAGGGCAATAAAACTACTCTATATGATACTATTAATATAATGGTGGATACATGTCATTATATATTTTACATTCTAACATTGTCCAAACTCATAGAATGTGTAACACTAAGAGTAAACCTTAGTCCATAAACTATGGACTTTGGGTGATTATGATGTGTCAATGTAGGTTCATCAATTGTAACAAATGCATCAGTTTGGGGCAGGATGTTGACAGTGAGGGAGGTAGTACCTGTGTGGGGAAAAAGGGCATAGAAGAAGCCTCTGTACTTTCCACTCAATTTTGTTATGAAACTAAAACTGCCCTAAATATAAAGTATTAATTTTTTAAAAGGTTAATATTTATCATACTCCAGAAATTACATCTTTTATAACTACTTAAAGTTAGGATAAAAATTTTGGATGTCAACTTTAAAATGTACAAGAAGCTATACAGTGTTTTCAGAATTCTTTTAGGGATTGTGGGGAACAAAGTTTGAAGACTCCTAGTTTAAAACAATGGTTTTCAACAACATCATTCCCTAGGAAGCATTTTGGAAATTTGTGGGGCCTCTTTAGTTGTCATAATGACTAGAGGAAGCTAACGGCATCTAGCTGGCAGGGGCCCATAATGCTAAACATCTTGCAATCATGGGTCAGCTCCACATGAGAATTTTCCCACATCCCATATGATTTCTGAATGTCTTTGCATAATTATTTTAAATCATTCGAGTCTATAATCTGCCTTTGTTTTGCCTATAATCACAAAGTATTTCTGGAACAGTTTTGATAGATGCTGAATTATAGAGGAAGGCAATTGCTATGTACATCAAAGGAAGGTTGCACTTTGTCTTGTTGACAATTTTACCAAAAGGTGTTCACCATTTGGGAAATCACATCCTGACAGCAATGCCACTCATGGGATTTGAACTCCAGTACCGTGCCTCTGTAGCAGTCTGCCTACACACAGGAGGTTGGAAACTCTGTTTAACAGACTCAGGATCAAATATTAAATTAATGTAAATAAATGAAATACAGGATCCCACTGAATTTTATCAGTAGAATAATTAAAAGACATTTCATAGTGTTACCAGCCAATTATTTTAAGTTGGATAATAAGAACAAGAATGTGGAGAAAAGAACATATTGAAATTACTTATTATTGTTTGTGTTGCCCAGGGTTGGTGTGTGTGTGTTTGTTTATTTGTTTAAGAAACAGGGTCTCACTATGTTGCCCAGGCTGTAGCACAGTGGCTATTCACAGGTGCAATCATCACACACTACAGCAGGTGTCCTCAAACTATGGCCTGGGGGCCACATGTGGGTGTTTTTGCCCGTTTGTTTTTTTACTTCAAAATAAGATATGTGCAGTGTGCATTGGAATTTGTTCATAGTTTTTTTTTAAACTATAGTCCAGCCTTCCAATGGTCTGAGGGACAGTGAACTGGCCCCCTATTTAAAAAGTTGGAGGACCCCTATATTACAGCCTTGAACTCCTGGGCTCAAGCAATTCTCTTGCATCAGCCTCCCAGATAGCTGGGACTACAGGTGCACGCCACCATGCCTGGCTAATTTTTTTATTTTTTGTATAGATGAGGTTTTGCTATGTTGGGCAGGCTGGTCTTGAACTCCTGGCCTCAAGCGATCCTCCTCCCTCAGCCTCCTGAGTAGCTGGGACTACAGGCACATACAACCATGCCCAGCCTTCCCTCTTACCCTGTCATTGTCCCCAAAATCTATGCATCGTTTCTTTATAGCTTCATGTAGTATTGTTTCAATTCCATTTATACTCCAGTCCCTGTCACTTACCAAAGGATATAGTCTCCATGGTCATCCTAGTATTTTAACATACCCTTGACTTCCACAGAGAACTCATGTAATAGCCATTGAGGGAGTATCTGAATTTCTAATCTGAAATTTCTGTAAACCTGCTATATAGAGGACATCAGTCACCAGATTACTCAATGCCCCCTATGCAGCGACTCTCTGAAGCACTTATCTCAGCTCTTAAGGCAGGACAAGCTGGTTCTTCCCAATGGAGCAGCATCAGTTCCCAGAGTTTGAGAGTTACAAAATGACTGTGTGGCCCTCTTCATACAGCTGCTGTGAAATTCGGGATTTCTTATTGGAATTTTCTCCTTCTCTTCTGCTTTAATTCTTGGTTCCAAACTCCTGCCCGTATTAATTTTTCTGAGTATTAAATTATCTGTACCTCCATGGAAAGCCTCTTGAGGGGATGGGTATATACAAACACAATGAGTGAGATGTGCAACGTTTGGGAGATGGTCACGCTTGAAGCTCTGACTCGAGGGGGGAGAGGGGCATGGGCAATATTTGTAACCTTAACACTTGTACCCCCATAATATGCTGAAATCATAAATAAATAAATAATAAAAAATAAAAGATACACAAATCAAAAAAGTGACATATCACTGTAGCCACCATGTCTCCTCTACTTGCCCCACTTTATGATCTTGGCTGGTGAGGAGAATGCTGCACAGGGAGGGTTGAATGATCTGGCTTTTGTGTGCCCTTCATTCAGTGCTCTGCACAAATGTCACTTCCTCAGAGGGGCCTTCCCTGACCTTCCTACCTAAAATATCCCTCCTTCCTCCATCCAGCCACTCTTTCCCCTTATCCTATTTTATATGTCTGCATAGGACCACTACTACACATTGACTTATTTAGTAGGCCATCCACCTCCTCCTCAGACTCTAAGTTCTCTGAGTACATAGACAGTCTGTTTTGTTCATGGTTGCATCCCCAGTGGACAAAAAAAGCCTGGCACATAGTAAGTTCAATAAATAGTCATTAAATGAAGGAATCATTCAGTGAATCAGTGAAATCATTGTTGCCCAATGACCTAGAGAGCTGCTGATACTAATTTACTGCCTTCTCTGTACATTACAAGAATGTACAGAAAGCCGCACATTTCCTTTGATCTTACTTTTGATGTGATAACCCAGGGCCATGGCTAATGTTCCTGTTAACTATGACCCACACCTAACCACCTCCAAACTCAAGTCTCCAAGATGACCAAATGCAGAGGTCTCCCAAAGCCTCAGTAGCCTAGGACCAGACTCCAGGTGGTAATGCCCACTCAGGAAATGGGTTTCCACTCAGGATAAAGGGTCAGGTCCCCTGCCTGCTTTGGGTTCCCTCTGCATGACTTGCCCAGTAACTGTTGCCTTTCACCATCTCTTCCTTCTGGAAAGAACTCCAATCGATAGCCATGTGGTCACCACCTTTCGCAAAATCTCCAGAAGGGTTCCTCTTAAACATCCAACAAGTAGTTTTAAAATTGCAGATGATAATAAAATACTTTAAATAACAGATATACAGTCTCTCACTAGCATCTTTTTTTTTTCTCATGGTAGAGGTCTAAGGGTTGATGGTGCCTAGTTCATATGCCATAAAAACTGATCACGGTCAATGGATATGTGGCTTTCAGAAGCTGTGGAAGTGAGATGCAGGTCTCCCTAGTCAGGCACTATGGCTTTTACCCAAATTGAAATAAGTTGGCATTCTGAAGTAGGAAAATTTCAATCCACATCTAACCATCCTTCTCTTTCCACAAGCTTAAGAAGTCAGTCAGTTTCTTCATTGTGAACCAAGATTTTCTGGATATATAAATCTTCATTCCTTTAATACACTGCACATAAATTCAACTAATTAGGGCTGTTGTAAGCCACTCATGTTAGCACAACATCATCTTAAGTGCTGTGGGTCACACAAAGGAAATAAATAATGACCTTGCTTGCTCTTAATCACCCTGAGCCCCCTCAGTTCTTTGAGATTTAAAACCAGAATAATATTGCTTCTCTTAATCCTCTAGAAAATTTTAGAAACGTCAACTGGATCATACTTCAAACACTAGGAGGAAGGCACTAATAGAAAACATGAAGCAATTACCCTTGGTGGTAATATCAGTCTGTCTCTCTCTGAGGATCAGGGGTATACAATCCCAAGATGTAATTTCCCTTATAGTTTTTTTAAACATCATTTAAAATTTTAGGCATTGAACAAGTGAGCCAGTAGGGGCTGAATTAGAAGCATTAACAGTGTCAGATTTTACTGATGGAACTCTGAAAGGGGTCCTTGTCAGGAAGCATATTATAAAGGAATTTTCTGGACGAAGATAAAATACACTTCTTACCTCCTACCAACAAGTAGCTGTTGGGAAACAGTGTTTTTGCTTGCATAAGTGCCCTCGCATGACCTGAGTGGAAGAGGTCAAATATTCCATCTGCATACACTCGGACAGGCCTGTCAACTGTGGAAGAAAGAAAACACTGTTAACAGAACTGCAGAATGAGGAATCCCAGTTACCTTCCAACAGTACAGTGCTGTAAGAAATTTTACCTGGATAAGACATAGTCTGTATGTACCATCAGTTTCATATTTGTATGTGAAATAGATTTTAAAGAGAGGTTCTTCTGAAGACATCAAAGCAGAGCAAAATCATAACAAAATTAAGGTCAAACCAGAACACACATTGTTAGCCAACAGGAAAGACAAGCACAGCACTGGGAAGTTCTTTTGACCCAGAGTGGGCTCTAGATGTCTGCGCTAGCAGAGTCAGCCCAGCAGGAACATCAAGGCAGGAGTAACTGAGGGGCTCAATGGAAAGGGAACATGACTTCATCCTTGAGTCTGGAAGTCCTGAATGAAGACCCTGGGTCTTATTTCAAAGGCATGGATGTGCTGGAGTCTGCTCATATTGCTCAAAGAGATAGTTGTCCACCTTTGGACAGATAGTTGTAGTTTTTGGTAGACAGTTGTCCACCTTTCTTCCCAACTCCAAGTCATGTTGGTAGCCTGAAGTCAACCATGATAGGAATGTTTACATCACAGAAATTGGCAAATGCTACAAATAATGGCTTATTTCCCACTAGAGAGCCAGTTGTTGAACATGTATCAGCATACAGTTGTACAAGGTCACTCCCTAAGAGATTGGGGGCCGCCTGCCCCAGAGGGAGTAGAGTCAGGGTATAAATGTTGCATGTAGGGGTAGTGCTCAGGGATGGGGTAGTGCTCAGGGATGGAAATGAGCAACCAACACCATAGTCCTTCCTAGGGAGAAAGGTCAAAAGTGAAGAGGCCACAACAGACACTCTCGCAATGATATCCAATGCTCTGGGAAGGGCTATTCCATGAGGATGAGTGACAAACTTCACCATAGCCCCCATGGGAACCCAGAGACTGCATTAGAAACTGAGGGATGATACTACTGCTGAGCCACGCCAAAGACCCATCCCCTTCTAGGTAGAGGGGGAGATGGCGGAGTAGGGGTCTAGTAATTTGATGGATAAAGCAAGTCATGAAATTATTCTTTTTAACTGGTTGAAGGAAGGGGGTTGTAGTTCTATTATACCCCTATCCTGATAGTCTGGAAGATGCTTGTTATGTTTGTTGAAAATTCTATATATTTTGCCAACTTTTATACTCTTCTAGACTCTCAAAAAAGGAAATCAAAAGTGAAAATCCAAGAATAGGATCCCAAAATGGATGACAGGAGAAAGAAGTAATTTCTTGTATCAAAGTGCTCTTATCTTAAGCACCCCGTCACCTCTTGTCTATAGTTACAAACAACACAGAGACATTTTATTCTTGCACTGAGAAGAAGGAAAGAGACATATGTGGCCACAATATTGTTCTTAAAAAAGGAATATGAGGACTACCAGTGAAATATGGTGAACTGAACATGCACATTTATCTCCACTTTCTTCCAAAACACTACAAAAAATTACCAAGAAAGAGTTTAAAAGATATAATTCCCCCTAAGGGCAGAGAAAACAAGAAAGGCAATGACAATGGATTAGAGATGTCAGCAACATTTTGGAAAGTTGATTGTCAAGTGGTGCGTGCCTACAGAATTGGGGTGGGTGGATAGGGAAAGGGATTGCTGGTTTTCTTTATAAGCCTAAGAGTCCTGCTGATTTCTTAAAATATATTCATGTATTATATTGATGTTATGAAAATAAATTTTTTAAAAAGAAAGAAATCAATGCCAAATTCTGTGGAATGATCTTTAGATTTAAAATTGTGATTACTTCTTGATGCAATGCAACCTCATTAATTTGGAACATAAAGAAATGTTACATTAATAGATTCAGATGGTACAGTGTTTCTAATAAATTAAATTTCTCTAATAAAAAAAATCGAGACACTTTATGTCAGATTGGGAATTGCAATTATTTCCAATTATACACTATTTTGAACAAACAATTGCCTTCATGGGATTATACCGTATTCTAAATAAGGCACAGTAAATAGAAAGTGCTTTGAGATAACAAACTGTCTAATGAGGGATCCTTGATTTCAATGCTCTTATTCAATTTGAATTCAATTGAGGAAAATTTGTTTTAAGATATAAACCCCAAGGGAAAGCAGATGGCAGTTTTGTAGAACTTTTTGTTATTGATTCAGAGGTGATCAAGATAAGTGAATTCAGGAAGCAGGGAGGAAAGAAAAGTAAAGAAAGATGACATAATTACTGAGAAAAGGGCCATTTAGTAAATCTGAAGAGTATTTATGGAGTTGATTTTGCAATAAGCTCACTTTTAAAAATTGTGGTGTGTCAGCAATTTCCAGACTGTGGGAAACTACAGGACCAAAAGGGAAAAAAAAAAAAAAGAACTTTGTCTCTTTGTCTCTTCAACAAATAAACTTCAAGAAAAAAAGAAGAGAAAGAGAAAGAAAAAAGAGATAAAAGGGGGACCTTCAGATTGAAAGAGACTTAAAAGACCTATTAACCTGTTGTAAAATATGGACATTATTTGGATTTGGGTTCGAACAAGCTATAAATAAATGATGACATAAGATAATTGGAAATTGGAATGGTGGATATTTGATGATATTAAAGAATTACTATTAATATTTTTAGATAAGATAATGGTATAGTGGTTATGTTTAATAAAACCAGAGTTCTTATTTTTTAGACATGTATATAGAATGATAGAAGTCTGAGATTTTGTTTCAAATCATTCAAATCAAGAAGAGAAAGTGGATGGGGGTGTGGATGGGGCAAGACTGGCCAGGGTTGGTGGTTGTTAGGTATGAGTGACAAACACATGAAGGTTCATTATATTGTTTCACTTTTGTGCATGTTTCTGAAAATATCTATGATAAAACTTATTTTAAAAAATAGAGCATGGCTTTTTTTGGTCAGTCTGGATGTTTATTTGTTTTAATCTTCTGTCTGATATTTTTCTGGACATCCTTTTAGGCATCTGTGAACTCTCCAGAGCATCTGTGTGGGGAACCACTGGCCTGCGAAGCTGGAGGTTTGGCAATGATTGGAAATCAATTAAAAACAAAAAAGAAATGAGAGCACAAGTATTCCGTAGCAGTAGTGGAGAGATGTCAAGGTGGCTCCCAGTGATCCTTGGCTTTGTGTCATTCCCACCCCTTAAAGTGCATGTGGGACCTGTGACTCGCCTCTATCCAGTAGAAAATGGAAAAGGTGATAAATGTCATTCCCATGCTGTTATAAGCCTCCATCTTGCTAGCAGACTCATTCTCTTTCTCCCTTGGTGGCTTTGAAGAAGCAAGCTGCCATGTTGTGAGAGGGCCTATGGAGAGGGCCACATGGCAAGGAACTGTAGGTGACCTTTAGGAGCTGAGGGTGGCCCCTGGCTGACAACCAATAAGAAGCTGGACCCTTGGTCTTATGCAAGGAAATAAATTCTGCCAATGACCTGAGTGTGCTTAGAAGCAGATCTATCACCAGCCAACCTCCAGATGAGAACTGAGCCTGGGGTGACACCTTGAATACAGTCTGTGAGACCCTGAGCAGAGGACTTGGCTAAGCCAGCCTCAGACTCTTGACTCATGGAAATTATGAGATAATAAATGTGTGTTGTTCTAACCCACTAAGTCTATGGTAATAGGTTATACAGCACAGAAAACTAATACAATGACATTATAGTCTTTCTGTCCACAGATTAGTATAAATTTTGAAAAAATTTCAAGTAAGTTCCTGTTTATGTTGAATGGCCACAGTAAAGTATATCAGACAAATATGATGTTCTGGGAAAGTGCATGTCTATATACCACATGCTGGTTACCATGCTTCATATAATTTAAATATAGTGAACGATGGTGAATATTTAATTGAGGATCATAGACACAAATAATGACCATGATACTGTTTTGTGGGAAAAATCTGATTATTTTAGCTCCCTGGATCTTACATTCTAAATTTGTATAAGTTATTCAGCACTTATAAGTAAATGGAACAGTGAAGGGGGCTAGCTTACCTCACATTTTACACCACATACAAAAATTAACTTGAAATGGATCATACACCTAAAGAGCTAAAACTATAAAACTTCTGGAAGAAAACATGAGAAAAATCTTAGTGACCTTTGGTTTGGCAAAAATTTTTTTAAATAGGACCCCCCAAAATTTTTAAATAGGATCTATACTATAAAACCAAAAAGTAAAGTGGATTTTATTTAAAATTTTTGCTATTCAAAGGACATTTTTACACAAATGAAAAGATGAGTCAGTCATAGTGAGAAAATATTTGCAAATTTTATATAAGACTTGTACCTAGAATATATAAAGAACTCTCAAAACTCAATAATAAGACAACTCATTTAAATAAGGCCAAAAAAATTGGACAGACACTTCATCAAAGAAAATAAATATATGGGTGTCAAAACACATGAAAAGATCCTCAATATCATTAGTCATTAGGGAGATACAAATTAAAACCTTAATGAGATAACATTTCATACCCACTAGAATAGCTAAGTACTTTTTTTAAAAAATTGACCATACCTAGTATTGGTGAGGATGTAGAGCAACTAGAACTCTAATATACTGCTGGTGAGAATGTAAAATGGTACAATCACTTTGGAAAGCAGTTTGTCAGTTAGTTAAAAAGTTAACTAGCACTCTGGGAGGCCAAGGCAGGCAGGTCCTTTGAGCTCAGGAGTTCGAGACCAGCCTGAGCAAGAGCGAAACCCTGTTTCTACTAAAAAAAGTAGAAAGAAATTAGCTGGACAACTAAAAATATATAGAAAAAAATTAGCCAGACATGGTGGCACATGCCTGTAGTCCCAGCTACTCAGGAGGCTGAGGCAGTAGGATTGCTTGAGCCCAGGAGTTTGAGGTTGCTGTGAGCTAGGCTGATGCCACAGTACTCTAGCCTGGGCAAGAGAGTAAGACTCTGTCTCAAAAAAAAAAAAAAAGAAAAAGTTAAACTCACATCTACAGCCAGACAAGAGGCAATCCCCAACTGCATTATATCTGAATTCATGCAATTGTGGGGTATATTAGGCATTTCTTGATATTTCCTTCAGCTTCAAACAACAATAAAAGGGTGATCATTCATCTTTGATTATGGATATTAACAAGGCTTTGATTGTGGCTAATTTAAGGCATTTAAACAGTGTCTTAAAAATACATACAATTTGCAAAGCGTATATATTTCACTTAATCTTTCCATCAACCCTATGAGGTAGCTAGGGGAATGTGGATTTACTATTGTCATTTCATAGAGGGGCAAATGGAGGCTCAGCAAAGTTAAGTGGCTTACCCAATATCATAAAACCAACTTATGATGGTGTATGAGTGCAAACCAAACTTTATTGCTCTTTCTTCTACCTTGTGGTGTCTGCTAGAAAACTACATGCTGATATGGATTATTTTCTTTAAAGCAAAATAGAGACTGTTACTAAATGCCCAGTAATTATGGTAACTAGCACTGTTTTGTGTATAATTGATGTATAAAAAAGGTGACACAAAATTAACCTTTTAAAATCTAATAGTTACATATTTATTTTGTGAAATTTACATGGTTTTTTTTTTTTTTTTTTTTGGTAGACAAGCGAGTCTCACTTTGTTGTCCAGGCTAGAGTGGAGTGCCGGGCGTCAGCCTAGCTCACAGCAACCTCAAACTCCTGGGTCAAGCGATCCTCCTGCCTCAGCCTCCCGAGTGGTGGGACTACAGGCATGCGCCACCATGCCGGCTAATTTTTTATATATATATCAGTATATATCAGTTGGCCAATTAATTTCTTTCTATTTATAGTAGAGACGGGGTCTCGCTCTTGCTCAGGCTGGTTTTGAACTCCTGACCTTGAGCAATCCGCCCGACTCGGCCTCCCAATTACATGGTTTTATATAAACATTATAGTTACCTTCTACTGATAGCCATTTTCTAAAAATGATAATGATTGATGTTTGCTTTTTAAATACATTAAATTTAAGTTTTAGAAAAGTATGTTTAAAGGAAAATTATTCAGTAAATTATAGCACAGGTAGTACACAAATAAGGCAAAATTCATTAAGGTGGCTCTTGGAAATTAAAGTCTGGGAAATTCTACACACTATGGAAACAGATTAATACAAATCTCCTTTTGAGAAGGAAAGTAGAAAATCAGAACTGAGTTTCCTTGAAGAAAAAAGTCAGCTTTAATGAAAAGGAAGCTCTGAAACAATCTCTTGGACTTTTCCTTTATACCAAGATAGAGGAGTGATTCTCTGTGCCCCAGAATATATACAATACCATATAAGTTCATAGCTCCACTGCCAGACTAGCTAAGACCAAAGGCACTAATTCCGATTGCTTTTTTTGCTATACTTTTTTCTTTCTCTTGAAGTTTTGTCACCACTGTAACCTCACAAATGAGGTCAAGGAGCTAAGAAGTATGAGCAAAGTTTGTCATTACCTCTTCTACAATTTATGCCCCAGCTCCTGTTTGGGCAGACCTAAATTTGTGAAACATATTGTAGGCAATTAATTGCATTAAGTTACAAACTATGGCTAGTGTAGGAGGAGATAGAGACTTCAGTTATAACTATAATCTTGAAGAGCATTATAAACACCCAATTCCACTGTGTTTTGCCTTTTTGGTCGAATGCTCAAGACAGTACCACAAAGAGGTAATTTCTTACTACTCTTGAAAATGACCAAAACCTTCAAAAGATAGCAATATTTTTCTTGTTTGCTTAAATAGTAGTCTAACAGCAAGATTTAAAAAAAATTCCCTGAGCTTTTCTGCTAACAGTACAATGGTCCAACAGTTATATTTGAATAATCTCCCTGCCACTCTCTCCAACCACTGCCAATGGTTACTCTTAAGCGGTGGGTCTCAAAGTGTGGTCTGAGGACCAGCAGCAGTGGCAGCACCTGGGAACTTGTTAAAAATGCAAATTCTCCAGCTACAACCCAGACCTACTGACTCAGAAACTCTGGGGGTGGAGCCCACAGTGTGTGTTTTCACAAGCACTCCAAGGGATTCTAAGCACACCAAAGTTTGAGAACTGGTGCTCTAATAAAATAATGGTCATAGGAGTGTGGTCTAAGACTAACAGGTGCCTTCCAGGCAATCGAAGAACTAACTTCTTGTTACAATTTAACACTGATATTAGAAGTTCTAAATAAAGGAATTTCTAACAGACGTTCCCCTCAGTGCCCATCAACAACACAAATACTATTAGATAACTTCCCAGTGTCCTCAGATGAGATAAGATGGGAGAATTTCTCTTCTCAAGTTCAGAAGTTCACTTTTGCTCTACCCCACTCCCTCTGTAGTGAGCTGTGTTCCAAAAAGCCCACCACACAGCTATTTCCACCATCTTATTCTGGCTTGATTCTCAGGGTTTAAACTGTTTGGCTGTTAGGCAATGTACAGGTGCTCAATTCCACCCAATTATAATAGCTTGTGCTGGCTCAAAGTATCAGAACAAACTCTCTCTGCTTCTATTTCCTGAGGACAAACTCCTTCTTTTGTCCCAAATTTTCATTTATTCATTCGTTCATTCGCTCCCAAAATACTGAGCACACAGTATGTGACAAGTGTCTCTTTAGGTGCTGGTGAAACAGCAACAGTGAACATGGCAGACAGTCCTGCCACTATAGAAGATCAAAGCTACTACCTGTCTGTTTTGTTCACATACCTTCCACCCTCCAGCTCAAAGCCTGAGTGTGTTTTCACTGAGCTCCATGGCTTGGAGCTCAATGCAATCCTGTGCATTGTGGATTGTGCATTTCAGGGCAGCCCGTTGTGCTGGGCAAAGTAGGGCTTTGACGTGATGGGGACTTGGGGTGAAATCCTAGCTCTACCCCATCAGCTAGGGCATTTGACAAGTTACTTTTCAGTTCTCCAAGTCTTGTTTGCCGCCTCTGTAGAAAGGACACAATCATATCTATCTCGCATGGTTTTTGCAAGGATTAAATGAGATAGAGTATGGAGCATCACACCAAGCAGATATATAGTAAGTTCTGCTTTCCTTTCCCTGGAAAAGTAGGGTCCCTTTCTGCTCGGGCTTGAAGCTCATCCTTTAATTTTAGGTCAAATCTGTTTTCTTCATAACCACCTGGATTTTCATGGGATTTGACAGCCCTTAGATTTATTGCTGGATCAGTATTGCTCAGTATGTGATCTCTAGACTACTAACTTTACAATCACTCTGGCCATCGGTTAAAAATGCAAATGCCTGGGCCCCATCCCAGATTTGCGGGTGGGGGGCAGTGAAGCAGGAAATCTGCTGTGTTGACATGTTTACCAGGTGATTCTTTGCACACTAAAGTCTGGAAACAACTGATTTTTTTTTTATTTTAGTGTATTATAGGGGTACAAGTGTTAAGGTTACATATATTGCCCATGCCCCCCTCCTCCCTCGAGTAAGAGCTTCAAGCGTGTCCATCCCCCAAATGTTGCACATCTTACTTGTGGTTTGGAAACGACTGATTTAGCTGCTCTGAACTACCTCCCCAAGCTTCTTGTTGCTTTTATCAAAAGAAGCCCACAAAAAAAGCTTACTAACTCTGCCCACTCTCCTCCTCACTTCACTCTTTTGAAGGCTATTCTTGGAGGAAGCAGAGTGTCATGGATAAGCGGTCAAGCTCTACTACAAACAGATCTGAGATCAAAGCCCAGCTTTACCACTCACCAGTGGTTCTCTAAGTGTGGCACCCCTGAGAAGCAGCGTCACCTGAGAACTTGTTAGAGCTGCAACTTCGTGGGTCCCACCCCAGCTGGATCGATTCAGAAACTCCAGGATTGGAGCCCAGCCATCTGTGTTTGAACAAGCCCTCCAGGGGACTCTGGTGCATGTTTAATTGTGAGAACCACTGCCACTTACTAACTGAATGACCTTGTGCCGATTCACAACTTGTCTAAATCCTTCATTTCCTCATCTGTGAAATACTAAAAGTACTAATCATAGAGTTGTGATAGTGAAATGACATGATAACATAGAAGCGCTTAATAAATAGTCACTACTGTTATTAAGCAAACTGTCCTTCATCCCATGGATTCTTTTCAGTTTGGGTTGTTTGGTTTTTGCAATGGCAGGTGGAAACTATCAAGTTGTGCCATCTTAAATGGCTCAAAGCTTACCTGCTCACCTAGTCCATCCCAATCAACTGGAACGACACTCATTTACTCCTACACAGCTCTCTCTCTCTGTGCCTTAACTATTCCTGTTCTACCTGCCCAGAATACCTTTCCATTTTCAGCTCACACCGTCCAAATCTTACTTCTCCCCAAAGTGTCAGCTCTTTTCTGCTCCCTTCCTGATGTCTTGCCTGTCTGCTCCAGGCCAAATGAATCTGCCTTTCTCTAAACTGTCAGTTATCGTATGTGTTGCAGGATTTAACCCCTAAGCATGTACACGTATGCTACTTGTGAGTTTCATTTCATATCTAGTTGTCTTGTCTCTGTAATTATCATGAAAACTCTTGGGAAACAGAGATAGTACCTTACAGTTCTTTTTAATTATCTTCCCTATCCATCCTCTGCTATATGCTAAAAGAATGAATGAATGGACAATCTTCTATAGCAGAGACCACTCTTCTTAAGGCACACTTGAAACTCTTTTAAAAACATAGACTTTTAAGAATGGTAATGATTATAGTAGCTTAGGTTCATATAAGCTTTCACAGTTTAAAAAAATGTTTCGATACTTTTAACCAAATCTAGTTGTCACAAAAACCTTGTGAGCAGGTATTGTTGCCTATGTTTTGCACATGAAGAAACAGATTCAGATCTTTCCAGTGATTTGCCTCTGGGGCTCAAGCTCCAGTATTCTGTTGCATCTTTTACTCAACCACTTTGGTCGGTCTAGTTTATCACTGTTAGTTTTAACCCTTCTTGTACTATGCTAGAATCTCTACATTCACCTCTCCTATTGAAAGCAAGTGCTGCTCAAATAATGACGAACCTTTCTGATATTTTAAATGTTAAAACAGGGCCCATTCAGGAAACAAGAAGTACAGCCTCACCTGGTGTTCCTAAGCGGGCCTGAGCAATGGTCAGTTTCTCATGGGGCGCTTGGCATTGGCAGCTAGTTTCATCTGCAAATGGGGCAGGTGCAGTCAGGGTCTAGAAGGAAAAAAGAGAAAAAGAATATAGTCTGACACACTTTCCTTTGGCACTAACTTCCCCTGAAGTTTCATTTCTCTTGGCTATACAGGTATGAGTACAAAGTAGAATATATCCGCTGAGTCTCTCAGAGAAATATTGTACTGTTAGAAATAAAGACGGGGCATTGTCATGGAAACTTCTTTTTTTTTTTTTTTAACTGATGCTTCAGAAAGAATAAGAGCTCTTCAGTGTCTACTGCATACCAGGCACCAGATGAAATACTCTGGCGTCATCTGCTTTAGGCCTCACAACCCCCTATGATGGATAGATACTTCTATCCTAGGGTATAGGATAATACTATCCCTATTTCACATAAAGGAAACTGAGGCTCAGCAAGGTTAAGAAATATGCTAAATCATGCCCCTGGAAAGTCACCATGCCCAGCTTTGAACATTTCACAACCAACAAGGGCAGTCTTCAAACATTTAGACTCACCCACACCCAGGAGCCTCGGCTGGCAGGAATGCCATACTCAGAAGCGCGGCACAACATCTGTATTTCAGACACGCCAGCCTGGCCAATCACAAACTCTGATGTCTCTTCAGTGCAGAGGCCAAGGCTGTTATCTGTGCCCAAGCGCAGCCTAAAAGCACAGCAATTCCGGCAGGCTGCAGATAACTAACTGTTCCTGTGGTGGCTTCAACAGCCACCAATGGCTGGAGGCCCCGCCTCAGGCAGTTTGGACTGGGGCTCTGAGGAACGCTGTGAGAAAGATGTAGTCACTTGGAAGCCTGCCCAGGAAGTGGCCCTGCATTTTGTAGTCAGCCGCTTAAAATGAAAACCTCACTCTCTCCAGGCAGAAGAAGACAAAGCGAGTGGTGTTTTTGTAAACAAGGGAAATGCAATCCAGAGTTATCCATTTGTAGTCTTTGGACTATGCTATTACCGCAATCACCACTACATCATCTTTGTTATTTTTAAATATGAAGGTGACTAGTCACTGTAAATATTACTCACAGTGCTGCATGAATTCTTAGAGATGGAGACAGGTGTTCTTTAACCTGGGAAGACTAAAGAATGTTCCATACACTTAAACAGGGGCTGTGACCCACTTCTGCCATTCACTTATTCATTCACGTGCACTCATTCAAATATATGTCAGCCACTATCTTAGAATCTGGGACTAGAAGTAGGGATAAGACCAATCCCTGCCTTTGAAGAGCCCCAGTTCCCTGCACGGATGAGACCTCATGTCTGCCCATCCCCTTTCCCTATTGCAGCACCTTCCACCCTAGAAGCTGGAGTCCTGCCCTAGTTTTGTTTGGAGACCTCCTGTAGTCTGAGACTTTCTTAGCCCCCACCCCCTTCCTTCAGGGCTCTAGAAGCAAACCAAGACTTGGGACAAGGGTTCAGGAAACTTGAGTCCATTATTGGTTCTTTTTCAGATACATTAAGGTGACCTCACATGCCATGGTGGTCCAGAACAGCATTTGTAATGGGGCAAAGGGGTGCAGTGACAAGAGCAGAAACTCTGTAGCCACAAAACTAGGGTTCAAACTCCCTTTCCAGCACTTACTGGTCACATATTCTAATTTGGCTCTTCTGATTGAAAGGAACCTACACTCACTAAAGTTAGCTCAAAGGATGAAGGATTTATTTTAAGGCTACCCTGGCACCGAAATTGTGGAAAAGCAGGAAGGGGCAGAGCATTGCCCCAGCGTGCTTGCTCTGCACTGACTTGATTGCTCTCTGCACATGATTGTTTCTGTCCCACCCCATTTACCTGAGTTCCTTCCACTCTCCCAAAACTTCAGCTTGAATATGGCCCATCATGGCCTCCTAAGCCTCTCTTCACAACACTCATTTAACAACTTCTGATAGTGCCTTACAGTAGCAGCTCCTGCTCTTACCAACTCACTGCTTCTTTCCATGTTTCCCAATTCAAATTCCTCAGGGAGAATCAGATTGACCAAGCTCATCTTTTTCAAATCAGTCCACAACCAGGATTGGCTGATGTTGGGGAAGGTGCCCACCCTGGGGCCCAACAGATGTGGCGAGGGAAGCTGTGGGTGGCCTATGGTTGCCACTGTAGCAGGAGCCATACTTGGGGCAAGAAATATATTTGACTTTGTGTGTTTAAAAGCAAGTTCCTTAACTTATTTGAAACTCAGTTTCAACTGTAAAATGGGTAACTATCTTGCAGGGCTATTGTGAAAAACAGAGATAATATGTGCAATGTACCTGGTACTCAATAAATTGTGGCTTTTATTACTGCTACTATTATTAGCTATTATATATCATAATACATAGTACTATATATTATGGTATAATAGATAATGTTGTTCCCCATAAACACAAAGAAATTGACTCATGAATGGAATTTTAAGGACACAACCTAAATAGGTAAATGGAATGGCAAATGGGATTAGTTTATGTTAAATGATTCATTGCCTTTTAATATATGTAGACAGTGAACCTTTTTTTTTTTTTTTTTTGAGACAGAGTCTCACTTTGTTGTCCAGGCTAGAGTGAGTGCCGTGGTGTCAGCCTAGCTCACAGCAACCTCAAACTCCTGGGCTCGAGCGATCCTTCTGCCTCAGCCTCCCGAGTAGCTGGGACTACAGGCATGCGCCACCATGCCCGGCTAATTTTTTATATATATATCAGTTGGCCAATTAATTTCTTTCTATTTATAGTAGAGACGGGGTCTCGCTCTTGCTCAGGCTGGTTTTGAACTCCTGACCTCGAGCAATCCGCCCGCCTCAGCCTCCCAGGAGCTAGGATTACAGGCGTGAGCCACCGCGCCTGGCCGACAGTGAACCTTTTTCACATGATCTAAAATAAATTACTATTTGAAGATTTTTTATGTGCTAGTCACAAAGTTTATTGAAGAGATAAGATGTTGCCATTTTCCAAGAAAGGTGTTTTCCAGAGGTCGTGAAATCTGGTAATTAAAGTAGAGATAGAGAAAGTTCTAAAGCAACAATAGTTACTCAAAGGTGAGGAAAAGGTTTATATGCACTGTGCATTTTGCTCTTAATTATTATGGCCTAGAATAGGAAAGAGGGAGAACCAAAGAGATGGAAAGCAGAGCGAATTTCTAAGTGCATGAGTGTGCTTGTGTGTACATGTGTGCACATGTAACTGTCTTTAACAGCAGGTGACATGGAGAAGGAGTATTTCCTGTTTTGTACAAGGCATTGTGCTTAGAATGGGGAGAATGCAAAAATCAATGAGCCACAGCCTTGCTCTCCAGAACATTGCCTTCCAAAGCAAGGCAGAATACCCTGAATTGAGGGTCAAGCTCTGCATTCAGGAAGACCTTGGTTAAAACCACCAACCAGCCATGTGATCTGAGGCAGTATTTTTTCAGTCTGGACACCCCAGATTACAATAGGAAAACCCCTCCTTCCTCTCTGAGCCAGGACAAATCATTTGATTTATAATGAATTCTATGTTCCTCAGGTTCTGCCTCCTCACATACTAGGGACAAACCAACTTCAAGACAATGTAAGCTAGCCAGAGGCTCCAGGGAGGGGCAGGGACTGGGCTAACTGAGCCTTCAGGCTATCTATCAGCCTGCAGAGGACCAAGGCCCCCACCTATACCTTACCATTTGCCAAAGCTGGGATGCTTTGAGCAATCCTCTGGTCTAGGCCCTACATAATACATGAAACTGAGGCCAAATAACATACTAGCTAAACCTTTGAGTGCCTACTTAGTGCCATGTATCCATTTAAATGCTAAGCACTTTAAATGCATTTGCTCATTTAATTTGTAAAACTCTGTGAGGTAGATACTATTTCCACTGAACTGCATAGGACCCATCGTCAACGGTGACTTCAAGTTACAGCAAGAAGCAACAGCAGTGGTAGAACCCTCAGGATCAGTTACCTTTTTGGCTCCCTTTAAACTGAGGAAACCCTCAGGATTCTTAGACAATAGCGATGGAGAGACTTCATAAAGGAGATATTAGGCTTTCTGATAATTAGAGAAGGGAGTACCCAGACAACTAATTGAAGAAATAAAAGCATGTAGACATATTTTTACCAAGAGTTAGTTGGTGCAGCGGGTCAGATGACTTATATGTAGTTATTGGCAAGCCTCAGCTTAGACTCGAAATCAGCCAGATCACATTTTCTAGTGTTTATTAGCACATGCTATATAGTTTAATATGGTGCTAGATGATTGGAGGGTGGATAAATGGAAAAAAAGATGAGAAAGGAAGGAACAGAACTGGCTCTGGGGCAGCAATCTTGCAAAGTGAAGGATGGCCCTTTTAGAATGGGAGAAGGTATTAGTTTGAAAAGGCATGTTAAATTTTCAATAATTTCATATTTGGGAAAAACTCTACTCTTTTCAACATGAAAATCATAGAAACTAAGCTTCTGAGCCGGCGGAGCTCCTCAGTGGATAGACTATGCCCCCTCAAAGAGAGACATATTCCAAATTCAGGGTTGGGTTGACACAGAAGAAAGCGAGGATTTTAAGGAGTTAAGAAACCCTGGCCCAGTGCCCTGGACCTCACTGCCAGAGCCTTGCCAGACCACAGACTTGGAGCTAGGTCACAATAAAACTTCTTTCTGCCTAATTTAAGATTTCAGAACACCCAGTTATTGCATGCGAATATGTTGTCTATTTGTCATACAAGTTCTGGTTATGTAAATTGTAGCATAGTAACATACCAAAGCCATATTCCCATCATGCCTTTTATTTTTTTTTATTTTTTATTTTATTTATTTATTTATTTATTTATTTATTTATTTATTTATTTATTTATTTTAGCGTATTATGGGGGTACAAGTGTTAAGGTTACTTATATTGCCCATGACCCCCTCCTCCCTTGAGTAAGAGCTTCAAGCACCATCATGCCTTTTAAAGGAAAAGACATTCTATGCTGGGCATTTCATTCACAGAATCTCTTCAGTTGGACATTGTCAAATATTTACTTAAAACAAAGGCTATTAGATACTATGTAAAATATACAATGCAAATATTACTTGAGTAAAAATAACAGT